CTCATTACAGTCAGTCCAGTTTCAGAGATAGTTTGAAAAGGCAAATCACCTTCTGCTTTACTTTAGCCCCAACTTCCTGAGTATGGTAATGTCTTAACACATCTTCCTTGGTGCTTAGGCATCGTCTTATGACACATGCAGAGTTGGTGATTTGTTTATGAAATTGGGTATGATTGTGCGTATTACTCTGTGCATTTTTCATTTATTCTATTACACATACTCCTGGGAGTTCAGGGCATATCGAGAGTAGCAGTATGGGCTAAGTGCCTGGATTCAAATCCTAGCTCTGTCCTTCCTTAGCTGTGGGCCATTGTGCAAATCTGGGCCTCTCTGTGCTTCTCCTCCTCCTCTGTAAAGTGGAAGGAGGATTGTATGTAGAGTTGTTGTGAGGAGAGCATATGTAATGAATATGTATAAACTACCCCAAAGAGCCCCTAACTTACAGCAACACAGTGTGTATTAGCTGTTGTTACCATCTTACATTCTCTTTACAAGCTGAAAAGTATCTCACGGTCTGGCTGTGTCTTCCTGCATGGGTGGTTCGCGGTGTCTCTGCTATTTCCCCGTGACAGACAGTGCCACTGTGAACTTCTTTCTACACATGCACATTTTCAGCAGGGAGTCTTTATCTCCGACACTGGATGAGGCTGACACAAAAGTGACCTTACGGTGTCAGGGTGATTCTCGTGGATATAGCATAATTACTTCTCCAATAGGTTATCTTCATTCCTAAAAGCCTTGCTGGAAAGGGAGAGCTTGTTGTAGATATATTGTGAATAAGGGGTGGGGGAAGAACCTTCTCTATTTACTTATACTCATATGTATTTTAAAAATCTTTCATTATAAGAGAGTATGATGGACCTCGATATGTGACCATTGGGGTCCTTGGGTGGGACAAATAATGCACTCAGTGTGGTGTCCCATCCCACCCCCTCTCCCTCCAAGGTGCCTTGGAAGAAAGGTGTGGCAATCTACTTCTGAAAAACTGGCCATTGAAAACCTCATAGAGCCTACAATTGTAGGCCACTGGACATCCCCTTACAGAAGGGTCTCGGGGAGGAGACGAGCCAGTCAGAGTGCGATGTAGCAACGATGAAACATAACAATCTTCCTCTAGTTCCTAAATGCTTCCTCCCCTCCTGCCCCCAATATCATGATCCCAATTCTGCCTTACAAATCTGGCTAGACCAGAGGATATACACTGGTACAGATAGGAACTGGAAACACAGGGAATCCAGGATGGATGATCCCTTCAGGACCAGTGGTGCAAGCAGGAGGGTGGAGGGAGAGTGTTGGAAAGGGGGAACCGATGACAAGGATCTACATGTGGCCTCCTCCCTGGGGGACGGACAACAGAAAAGTGGGTGAAGGGAGACATCAGACAGTGCAAGATATGACAAAATAATAATTTATAAATTATCAAGGGTTCATGAGGGAGGGGGGAGCGGGGAGGGAAGGGAAAAAATGAGCTGATGCCAGGGGCTTAAGTGGCACACAAATGTTTTGAGAATGATGAGGGCAGTGAATGTATAGGTGTGCTTTACACAACTGATGTATGTATGTATTGTGATAAGAGTTGTGTAAGCCCCTAATGAAAGGATTTTAAAAAGAACACAGCCAAAAACCCCTCATAAGAGCACAGTTCTACTCTGACCTACCTGGTCGCCATGCATCAGAATCAACTTGATGGGAACCTTTTCACACCTATTACCCTAACCCAGATCACCAACTCATAGCCAGTTCTGCCCTGTCCACACCCCAGCCACCCTCTCTCATTAAAGGAAATCTCTGACAGCATACCATTTTTTGATGTGTCTATCTACATATGCTAATATCTATATCCGAATTACAGGTTTTTCCAATTGCAAGGAATTTTTACTTTTTGTGAAAAAATTATATATAGCATATACCCACACCTCACTGACTGACGTGACTCGGCTCCACAGACGAGTTGTGTGAAGTCAGAGAGTCTGAGGCCTGACTTGTCATCCTGGTGCCCATGTTCCTGTTCCCCTACCCCCACCTCCACTGTCCATCGGCACACACGGCCAGAGGGCCTTCCTACCATCATGGAGCCTGCAAGGGTGAGCAGTGGTGCTCAGGGGGTGCCCCACCCTGGAAGGTGACCCCATTCCTCCCATGTCTGTTCCTCACAACTCATGATAGGGCCTCATTTCTTTCCCCCAACTTCCTGGCTCCCCCCACTGACCACCCTGATTTTTTAGGCCCTCCCTCTCCCTGCTTGCCCCAACTTCTGTGACTAGACTGAGACGTCACAGATAAATGGGAGGTGTCCACAGCCTAGACCACCCCTCAGGTTCCCTGGTTGTTGGCAGCTAGCTCATTGAGGGGGTCACGGGCCACGGGCCACGGCCTTACGTGGTGCTCAGGCCATTGGAGGTGCCACATGCTTGCGAGTTTTTTCATACTGTCGTAAATGTGAAATAGTGGATAACAAGGGAGGCAGTAGGTGTACAACACAACCTTGGCCAGTGCAGCGTTTTCATGTGTACATTATGGTAAGTGAAAGACTTACACTGTGAGGACTGCCCCTCCCCAAACCCGATGTCTTGTTTTTCAGTTGACTGTTAAGCTGCTACGACTATTCACGTGTAAGCTCTTGTGTGGATGTCTGTTTTCTCTTGGCCATATACTTGAGAGTGGAATGGCAGGTCATTTGGAGCCCTGGTGGTGCAAGTGTTAAACGTTGACCTGACTAAAGGTTGGCAGTTTGAACCCACCAGCAAAAAGATGGAGCCGTCTGCGTCTGTAAAGATTGGCAGCCTTGGCAACCCTGTGGAGCAGTTCTTTTGTCATTGTGCTTTGTTGTATCTACGATAGTGTTGCCTAGCCCAACTGATTTTAAGAGTTTTAGTTATAGTTTTAATACATTTAGGTCTGTCATCCTTTTGTGTTCATTTTTATGGACGCTGTGAGGTAGAGGCTCCAACTTCATACTTTGATATGTGGTCTTCCAGTTGTCTCAGCACTTTTTATTGAACAGATTCTCTTTCACCTGTTGAATTACCTTGATAGCTTATTTTTATACCCTTTTTATAGATCAGTTGACCGTAAGTTTAACTATTTGATTTCTAGATCTATTCTTATATTCAGAAGAGATCCTCCTCCATATGCATCTGTGTGTCTATATAGATGTGTGTGTGTCCTTTCACTAATTCCACACAGTTTTGATTACTTTGTAGTAAATTTTGGAAACCTTTTGCTAATTTTCACATGAAAGGTCAGAGTACTTTTTATAGCCCTAGAGCTCCCCCTTATGTTGTCTTTTTGAAGTGCAAGTAGGTTTCATGGCTTGAAATCTGGTTCTATTTCTGTTATCTGCCCTGGGGGACAGGAGAAATCTTTTATGTCACTTCTCCATGTGCTGCTCAGTTTGGATATTCTTCCCAGCAATTTCTAACACTAAGACAAAAAGAAGCCATCTGGTCGTATTACCCACATAACTCTTTGGCAATTTTTAGAAACAGCTGATAGACATATGTAAGAACTTTTGTTGCTTCAGTAAAGTGAAAGGCTTACCCTAACCTTTTTAAAGTTTCAAGAAATTTGGGGGCTAGGGAGCATACATTTACCAAAGTGTAATTAGAGTCTTAAAAATACCTAATTATGTAAGTTGCTTTTGACCTTGCTTTATTAATGTTTTTGTTTCCCTCAAACTCTTGCAAATGTTTTCTAACCAAATCCCAATTAAGTAAGGTTACATTATATAGGTAAGGAGTTACACAGAAATAAGTTATGTTCCAATCACATTTTAGCATTAATTGATAAGTCCAAAATCTTGATCTTCTGGCAAAAGAACGGTTTGTTGTAATAGTGCAGTCACTAGTGTATAAAATGTTCAGTTATGATAGAGTTCCAGAGTGTCCTTTAGACAGCATCAGCAATGGAAGAAAGACCTCGGCAGGCAGCGATCGCCGTTCTCAGGAATCTGCGAGGTCTTCTTGACGTTTTGGATAACTTCAGTAACAGGACAGGGTCAGGTCACAGCATCAGCTTCCCTCCTTTCTTCTGGACCTTGGGAGCTGAAGAGAACTCCACCTGTCCATCTCCTTTGTCTGTGGAAACATGAACAACTAGCCCCTCCCTTGGGCGTGTCAGCAATCTGGAAACAGTCATGATTAAGATTGGGTTCTTTCCTCATCTCTTCCTTGTCCATCTTTCTTCAAACGTGCTTGCATCCTTCTGAAAGGAGTCCATCAGCTTTATTCTCAGCCCCGCTTGGTGGTCCACATGGGGATGTGGAAAGTGGGAATGGTGGGGAAGGGAGGACAGGGGAGAGAGCAACCTTGCTTTATTTATTTAATCCAGCCAGAAGTTGTTTTTAAATGAGAACTCTGTGCCAACAGATGAGTATTCTCGTTAAAGACCTCCTGGAGTTATCCTCCCTCTGGGGGCCTCTTGTCGTTGAGACACTTGACTGGGAGTTTCGGGGCAGGTGCAGGTGGTGTAGGTTCTCACCTCTCACCCATTCCCCCCCCCCCCCGGAAATCTTAATGCTTTTAGTGTGGCGATTCATCCCATTAGTGTACTTGGTGTTCAGGTCCTCTGTATGGAGTAGGACTTCTTAGTCGTAGGTTTCCCTTAGGGGGTTTGCCTTGGTTACTGGGTTTCAGATGATGAGTTTCTTAGGAACAGAGTGGCGTGTGATGGTTGGAAGGTTTGTCAGTTGGACTGTAGTCATTAAGGGTAGAGAACAAACAGTATTCAGCATCCTCATGCTCAAGGGAGCCCTAGTGGTGCACTGATTAAGCACTTGGCTGTTCACTCAGGGGTTCCATGGGAAGAGGCCCAGGTGTCTGCTTCCAAAAGGTGGCAGCCTTGGAGACATTGTTGGGCCGTCACAGGGTTACTTTGGCTTAGACTCGACTGGATGCTAGCTGACAGCAGCAGCCGTGCTCAGAACATCCTGCTAGTCTGATGGGCGCTTTGCCTGAGGAGAGCTGATGGTGTTTTGGGGGGCTTGTGTTTCTTCCCTCCAGGGGAGCCAGGAAGTGGCACAGAAAGCGATACTTCTCCAGACTTCCACAACCAGGAAAACGAGCCTGCCCAGGAGGACCCCGAGGAGCTGGATGGCTCTGTGCAGGGTGTGAAACCTCAGAAGGCTGCTTCTTCCACGTCCTCAGGGAGCCACCACAGCAGCCATAAAAAACGGAAGAATAAAAATCGGCACAGGTAAGGGGCAGTGCTGCCACCCCCAGAGCACCCACGGCCTCTGCTGCCCCGTGCCTCCCCCAGATTACCACCCATGAGAGCACTGCAGAGGCTTGCTCTAGCTGAGGGTAGGGGATTCCTCGGGGCTGAAAGATGGGGGCTGAGTTTTCCAAGCTGGGAGCTGGTGGGCATTAACTGGTGACCTGCGGGTTTCCCTCCTCCCTCTTGGCCATGCAAAAGCATGTTACTCCCTGAGACCTTGGTTCGTGTGCTGAAAGGGGCTCCGGGAGCGGAATCTGTAATGGCAGTTGAAAATTAATCCTGGTCCCTGCCTCCTCTCGTTCTCTTGGGAATGGAGAAAACTGATCCCTTCCGCCGTGGTTTGCATTTTGAACTCTTGTGAGCGCTCGGTTGTGTGTGTCTCTGCAATGTGCTGACTTACGATCTTGGAGGAGTACTACAGAGTTTAACATGTGACGGTGTCTCCCTAGATAACACTGTCCGCTGTGGGGTTTTTTGCAGTGTGTAATGAAATAGGAACACTCTTAGTGGACAGAGAGGTCAGGTGTTACCCAGAGAGGATGCTAGCAGCCACTCTTCCTGGGGTGATGTGTATGATAAACAAGAGATTTGGAAATGTGTTCTCAGAGAGGGATTGCCAGCTTCCAGACTCAAGAATCTTGCTGTGGTCTCACCCCACCTGGGAAGCAGGGAAGCCCGGTACCCAGAGACTGGCTTTGTCCCACTCCTTTTGGAAAAATGCATGTGGAGGAGGTCAAAAGGGACATTGGAGAAATGGTGTGGGGCTTGCTCTCCAGTTCATTTGTGAGGTGGGCTGCTTTACAGACCCGTAGGATAGGCCTGCTCCAAGTGCCCCAGGCATGACAAGCATTAGCTTAGTGGAGGGGGCACCGGGCCAATGGGGAATTTACCCTATCTTGTCTGAACTTGGAGGGCATCCACTGATAAGTCTTTTATCCTTTTCTTTTGCTTTTCTCACCAGTGGCTGCCCTGGGTTTTAGGCTCCAGAAACAGTATTTCCTCCAAGTAGTGAATAAGCCCTGCAGCTGCTTTGTGCAAACCAGAGTTCCCAGGCTAACCATAAGACTGTAGGAAGAATTCACATTTTGGGCGTGGGGGGCGGGCGGCGGGGATAGGGTTACAGGTTGTTTGACTTTCGTGATCAGATTCGTTCTAACAATTGTGAACAAATTGAGTTTACAAGTAGTAGCATAGGACAACCATACTCTCAGAAAGACGTACTTTAAGAATATTCGGGCTATGAAAGTCACGCTCTGTATTGCTTTCATTAAATGTACTCTGCTACTGTTTTTAAGGAGTGATTCTTTACCTATTTCAGAGTGTCTATAGAGTAGGGGGGTTTTATTGAAAGTTTCTGTGCCCCCATCCCGTACTATAGGTTCTAAATAGCTGCTGTTTCATGATCAGTGATGGCACCATCAGCTGATGACTGACTGTTGCCGAGAGTGAAGCCTTAACTAGAAATGTAGTCCGTTCCCATGAGAAGACACCGCTGAACACCGTTTCCTCTTCTGGCATTACAAGTAACGCCTTCCAGGAAAAGACTTCAGATTTATCATCTCTGATCGCTGTTTTGTTTCCCAAACAGTGTTTTCTCCTTGGAAAACCAGATGTAGTGGTCCTTTTTTCCTCCTCCCTGTTTAACATCTGGCTGGCCCACTCCCTCTCCTTCCCCTTGTACTCTTCACCCCCCTACTCTCGGTACCTTCTCTCCAGGGAAGCCAGGCTCCTGGGCCACCAGAGGGCTGCCTAAGGTTTTTGGAGTCCTGCCTTCTTAACTCTGGGCTTGTGTTTGGCCACCTGTCTTTATGGGCCGACAGGTGAGCGGTGGGGGTGGAGCACTCTGTGCCTGTTTGTAAGTTTGCCCCCAGCACCAGTACAATCGGGTCTCTCCTCACCTTGCCACACCCATTTGCCTGTCAGAAGACGGGTGCAGCAATGCCTGATTGCCCACTGCGTGCCTGGCACTGCCTAGTGGTGAATGAAGCAGAGTGGAAATCAATAGGATACTTTTAGCCAAAGGGAATAACTTGAATCAGCCCTTTTTAAGAATGTGAAAATTAGCCAGTGATTTTTATGTTTCATGCCCTTGCCTAACAACGATGAGGTCCCAGTGTTGGGAGAGAAGGAAAGTTAAAATCATCACTGAGGGCTGCCTGCCCTTACACCCACACCAAACCGTAGACTTCTTCCAGGTAGTTGGTGAGATCAGGAGGAGTTAGGCATAGTGGATTGGGACTTAGTGAGCAGGGTTCAGGAGAATATTCCCTAATTTCTGCTTTGTACACTTTTTTGTATGCTTCTTCCTAAACACTTTAAGTGAAACTAATGTACAAGGGGCATTGAAATGAAGCTTGCTTGGTGCTTGCTTCCTCCTGCAGACCTTGGCTAGGAGGGAAAAGCAGTCGTTTGCATGCTGGTGTTTTCCCACCTGGCCTCCAGTCTGGAAGGTGCTGCCTGCTCCCTTTGATTGGTTTGGAGGTCTGCCCAGACCACAGCCTACTCGTGCCTCCCCCACTGTCCTGCCCCCACCCAGAGTTGGGGGATACTCGTGGCCGTCCACTGTCCTGTGTTCTCAGTGGGTCTCTGCAGACCTTGGTGTGTCTTCCTGTGGCCCTGACCGTCCCCAGCTCAGTGTCCAGAGAAATGTAGGCTCTCCACCTTCTGGAACCAGACTCCACCCTCATTCACCTCCAGGCTTCTGAAGCTGAATGTTGAAGATAAAGAACGCCTGTCTCATGGGTACATGGAGAAGAAACACTTGAGTAAAATGTTGCAGAAATGTTTTCTGTGTTTCAAAGTTTAGCCATCTTTAGTTTTAGCCAAAGTATAGGACGGGCTTCAAAAAGTTGGTGGGCAAATTCCATCACCTTTTCAATCCATGTTTCCCACGGGCTTTTTGAAACCCCCTGGGGTTACTCGGAGTTTCTAGTACTGGCTACAGAGCACTGGCATGGTCTGACTGAACCCTTCTTTCTCTGTTTTCTAATGCTCTAACTCTTTATTTATTCTTTGTCAGAATTAAGTATTTTACGTTTTAATGCTCAATCTGGCCGCTAATAAAAGGGCTCCAGGTGTCTGTCTCTCTCTTGTTTTCTAATGAAATAACGTTTCCTTTCGCAGTCTGTTCTGATAGGAAACCGTTGAGGAAAGGGGTCTCCTGACCACAAAACCTTTGGTGCTTTGTTTTTTCAAACCTTATGGCTTAAAATTCTTAAAGCTGGTTTTGTTTCTACAGACCTTGCTAGGGTGGCTAATCGACTAATTCGTCCAAGTAGTGTATTAATTTCTATTGCTTTCTTCCTTTCCATTGCTGCCCCGCAGCCCGTCTGGCATGTTTGATTATGACTTTGAGTAAGTTTGATTTGCATTAGTATTTGTGCTGTGTTGTTTAGTGTGTAGACACCAATGTGCCTTTTTGAGACCTTTCTAACCCATAGTTTATCTGTTTAATTGTAGGTATGTATATTAGGTTAGGCTGGGAAGTTTTTTTTAAAAACAGAAAAAACGTGATGGAGGTAACATTTTATTTAATAACTTAAGCAAAATTACGTAAACTTCACCTTTGTGCATTTTAATTTCTTTTTAAATAGCCAACCTTTACTTTAATTCATATTTAAATTGATTTTCTGGCTTTGCTTCATAAAGAGATTAATAGTTTAAGATTTTGACACTTTGGAAAGATTTAAAAATTGAAATTCATGTAATTTCTTTTGTGTTTCTCATCCAGAAATACAAATGCTTAGTCTCTTTCCTGATCTTAATCATCGTGTGTCTCAGTAATTTTCAACGCTATCGTTTCCAAGCTAACATATTAATGTAGAGCATGCCCTCTTAATCCAATCTCTTTAACATGTAGTTTTGGAATAATTTTTTTAAGTACATGGCTTTCATAACTGCCTGTATGCTTCTTTCTGAGAGTCATCTCAGTTTGCCTGGTAGCAGGAATATCTGCTCATATTTATAAACTGATACTTGCTTAATAACATCTGGGTAAGCAACTAAATCTGGCTTAGTCTGGTTAAGAATTTGGACTTTACTTAACCAAATAGTCTTTGTTATAGCTTGTGCTCTGTGCAGTAGCTGACTCTTGGACCTTTTTTCTCTACATTAAAATGCAAATATCTTTTATCTTTCCTATCACAGGATTGATCTGAAGTTAAACAAAAAACCACGAGCTGTAAGTATCAGCAGGCCATTTCAGAGAGGCTGGCCATTTTGTAGACGATTATAAAACGCCATTCCCATCTTCAGCGGTCGAGTGTTGCTATGCTGGGCTCACTGCTCCCCTCCCAGTTAAAGTCTACAGTGTCCGACTGGACAGATTGGACCTTGCACTTACTGTAGGTGCTGCTGCCTCTTTCTCTGTGGGAGAGGAAGCCACTCTACACATTTGTACTAGAGAAATCTCCCCTTTGATTCAACAATAAATTGCAAGCACTGGCCTTCCCTTCCTGTCTGGTCCTGCCCCGTGAGGATCCGAAGCCGGGGCCGTATGCAGCTGTGACCGTGTAGATAGCAGTTTAGCTATCTGTTTAGCTAGCAGTTTAGCTAGCAGTTGTTTGTGAGCCCCTCCCCCACCCCTTAGGTTCAAATTAATGTTCTGTGAAGAGTAAATATGGGCTTTTGTTTCTCCCTCTCTAGGACTATTAGAAGACTCGTTAGTATGGAAGCTTCCAGGTTATAGAGCCCTGCCTCCCTCTCCCACCTCACAAAGATAAAACACCTCTCACCTGAGCACGTGGCCGGCTGCATCTGCTATCCCCGACCCAGTGCCTGCGGCTCCAAGTAGTTTGTTCTGAGTGCGGTGATAAGAGTCGTTTCTGCTAGGCCACATCGGACCCTGTACTTTGTGTCATTTTTAGTAGCCCAGCTGCCAGGAGACCAAGACCTGCTTGTAGTGCCAGCACGGTGCTCACTGTGCGAGGCCCCTTCCTGGACTGAGAGCCCGCCGATGTCATCCCTGAGACCCATCAGAAACGCTCAGCAGCGGCTGCTTAGAACACAAGCTGTGTCTCACATGGGGCTGTAAATCCCTGGCATTTCCTTTGTGTTTTATTGATTTTTTATTGTTGTTTTTACCATCTTATTTTCTTTTGGGACTTTTTATAATGCTGCTGTACAGCTCAGACCTTCCTGCCGACATCTCTGTTTTGTGAAGTTGCCAATATTCTTAATCTGGTTTAGCATAAATAAAAAGGGGAACTTGGCTAGCTTGTCTTTTTGCAGAGGAAAGGTAAAGAGTGGTTAGTTCATCATTGTCTGTATGAAATCTTTCTCAGTTGAAAGCAGCTTCATGCTCCACGAATAGGAATAGCTGAAAAATGCCAGCTTAAATCAGTCCTTTACAAATACCTATTGTTTTGTATAAATAAAATGCCACAGGCTTTGACCTCTCATACTTTGTTTTTAAAGCTGAGATTGGGCTTTTAATCTCTCTTCCTCTCTTCCCCCTGCCCTATTTATTTATTTTTATTTATATCATGCATTGTGGAAATTTATTTTTCCATCTTTTCTGATATTTGCCTGATTTAAGTATTACTCTAAAAATCACCCGTGGAAAGGCAGGCTTTAAATTGCTTGACAGGCTAATCTGTACAGATTTCTTGAGCAGAATGAACCCTCCCATACCCTGCTCACCAGGGTCCGTGAGTAGGGGTGATTTACCTTGGTGGTACTCTGGACTCTCCTGAGAAACGTAAAAAATCTGACCAGTTCTGATGCTTGGGCCCCTCCAGGAGGCACAGCCTGTGCTTACGGGGGTGCGGTGGGGTGGGGGTCTTCTTTCAGAGTTTGCTTGGGATTCTGGTCTGAAGCCAGGTGAGGCCACTGCTTGAGAGGCTTGGTTGAAATCCTGCCTGGTGAGTGAGTCCAAGTGCTAAGTGTAGGACCTCCCCTTCCCTTTGGCTCTGACAAGTCGCAGTCTTGCGCTCGCCAAAGGCTTTCACTGCTGTTCTCAAACCTGGGGGAAAGGGGAGATGTTTTTTCCCCTTATTAGTGGAACTCAATGTCCCAGAATTTTTAGGGACATTCTCTCTTATCTTTAGATTGTTCTTTAAAAACAAACAGATAGAAACCCAAAACATTCTGTACCCTTCTTTGCCAACGTCTCTTCTTTTTGGCTGGATGGAGGGAGTGGGGATATGCAGTTTCCTGAACCCTGAGGACAACCCACCCCTGGTTCTTAGGCCACTAGTCCGACATCTGCTAGAGCTGTAGTGGTGCTCTTTAACAAGGGGTGTGTACATCGGAGTCCAGATGTAATCTGAGAGCCAGACGACGTCTTTGTCCTGTGAGGTTTGCTCATTGATTAGGGCACTCCACCTTTCCCTGTAAGTTGACCAGGTGTACTGGAGATAGCCAAGTCCCGAGGAATTGTCCAGCTCCCCTACGGGGTGGGGTGTAGACAATACCTGTGCACCCCCCTGCCTGCTATGCTTGTGATTGTTGCAACCTCTTCCGTGGCAAATTAAAGCTGCCTGAGGTCATGATGGATCAAATGTATTACCAGCCAAGAGAACACATGTGCTAGCAGGGAGGGAGACGGTCGTTCCAGGGGCAGCTGCCTTCCCAGTACCCATCCGTTGCCCTTGCGGGAAGTGTGCTGGGGTGTCCTGCACCCTCCTCTCTTAGCAGACCTCTTTTACAGGAGTGAGAAGTGATTTCTCTGGGCGGGCCTTCACGTGTGTTAGGTGAGGTTGATTAGAGAAACAAATCCAGCAACACTCATCTATGCGTATCAAGAAGTAGTTATATATCAGGAAGACAGCCCAGCCCAGATAAATCCGTAAGTCTGATACTCCTCCTAAGTCCCTGTTTAGACTCACGCAGCCACAAGCAGTGATGCAAAATACAGGAAGGTCGCAGGCTGGTGGTGAAAAGTCTGGTGGATCCAATGGTGGTGGAAGCATCACAGGGCTGGCGCAGGTCTCTGTGGCTCAACAGGAAGGTGAAGGCGCAGAGAGAGGTTCTCACGGCCCTCACGTCCACTAGGAGGCACCACCAGGCTGTGACCTGAGTGACAGGCTAGTCTCCACCCCTGCATTTTATGCATCTTCAAGTTGACAAAAACTCGTGACTACCACACCTTGTTATAGTGCTTTGCTTCATGTCTTGGGGCCTGAGAATGAACTGGTTTAAAGAAGTCTGGCCCCATCGTAGGGTGTGGACTCCCGTATTTCTGCTGTGCTCCAGAGGGACTAGGGGATAGTAGTGGCAGACCAGTTGATATATGCCACCTGGGTTCATGATTTTCCTGAACTTCAGCCTTCCCACCACTCAAGTGGAAATGGAACTCCTTTGGAGGTCGTTCTAAGACATGTCAAGAAAAGGCCTTATGTATGTCTTTGGGCTTGCCCAGTGCTTCATGGGGAGTCTCAAGTTTATTCTCCATGGGACTGGGAACAGAGTTTATTGTAGTTACACTGCAAATGTTCAACACGATCAGGTTCTGGAAGTTAAAGGTGGAGAGAGACCAGAAACAACTCACCCAGTAAGGGAAACTTGGAGGCAGGGCTGTAAGGGCACTTAATGAAATTGGGTGTAGTCAACATGGACTTGGAAGGCTTTTGTACTGGTCAATTTTAGGGTGGTTTAGGAAATTTGTCAGTAATTAAGGAGTTTAGACTTTCTCCCCACAGCTGAGTTCACACTGTTTGCTTAGAAACTTCTCATTCTGAAGAGTAGGAAGCAGGCATCATCAGAATTATTTCCAATTCCAGAAGGACAGCCAGAATGTTCCATACAGGTGAGGAGGGGAGGCTGTGTCTCACATACTTTGGGCGTGTTACCAGGACGGGCCGGTAGTACTCGGTGAAGAGAGAGCGTCAGTAGAAAAGGAAGATGCTGGATCCACGAGATGCTTGATAAGGTGGCTGCAGCCGAACAATTGGGAGGACGGTGAGGACCAGGTAGTGCTCCATTCTCATCCGAGCTGACTTCATAGCGTAGCCTGGGTACCCGAGTGGTGTACTCTTAAGTATTCTTTTTTTTTTTTTTTCACTCTTAAGTATTCTATAGGTTTCTCTTGACACGGTTTCGTCTGACTTGGTAAGAGGATGAGAACAGGGTGAGAAGGCCTAACCTAGGAGGCAGTAAAGGGGCTGCTTTGAAACATTCCATGACTTAGCCTTTACCCGTTTTTGAACATTTCAGTAAATAGGGTGGCCTGTGCTGCTTTGTAAGCAGTAAGTACTTCCAGGGTGGGGACACAGGCTGTGACTTGAGGGTGGTGGTGTGAGAGAGGCAGAGAGGTGAGGAGAAGGGATTGGAATTCTAATTCCTGCAACCATCTAAAGTCACGGCCTGGTGCCTGGATTCAGTTAAATGGTAAGCATCATGATTGGAAACAAATTTTCACATTGGGAAAAACAACTGTTTCTGTGAATCAGCATGGTTTTCAGCATTGGGAGCGCTGTGGTGGCGGGTAGAGCTGATGGTGCCCCTTGCTCCTCAAGGCAGTGGTCCCCGAGGGACCGTCCAGCAAAGGGCCAGTTGGGGAGCTAGTGTTCAAGAGCTTTCATGTTTACTTTCAGGGTTGGCTTTTAGTTAGCTCCTAGTTATGAGTGTGTTAAGTGACATGAATAGATATTGTTGACATACATAGTGTTTCTGTAGTACATAAAATTTATAAATAAAAAGTTGGACCACACACAGAGAAGGGCTGATATTTGGCTATTTTGACCCGCAGAAAAGACACAACCATGTTTTTACAACCTGGCTATTAAATAACTTGGGGGTGGGGGTGCCTACTTTTCACTGGTAGAATGCACACTTAAGCTTTGGAGACCCCTGGCTACTATAGCTGTCTCCAACCCCCTATTCCCTTGGTGTTCTCCCAGGGGAAATTTAACTAATTTGAATAAGTAACCCATGCAAATAGCATCCATGCCAGTGGCTCAGAAGTCCATGTTCCGGGAAGCTCTGCCCTTCAGCAGTGCAGGTGGTTCCTCTGCCCACGGGCACCAACCACACACAGGCTCCGCTGTGTCCTCATGGGGGAGTTCTGTACACACTAGTAATAGGCACGCCTACGTGTGTGTTTACAGAAATGGTGGCACACTGCCTGGGCAGTGGGGTGCCTTTTTGCCCCTTTGCTCTATTTTCATTTTGGAACCTAGAGAACGTTCCCCATGTGCAGCTGCTGCCCTCTCTACTGGCTAGTCCATCGCCCACGGCGCCACATCTGTCTGGACCTGCAGGGTCTCTGAGTTGGAATCGACTCGATGGCAGTGAGGTGGGTTTATTTTCCTTCAGTTTCATGTTCCACTGCGTGCGCATGTGCCAGCCTGTGTGAGCGAGCCGTCTGGTTGTTTCCGACAGCGTCGTAGGGAGCAGCCTTACACTGGTAGTTTTGCAAACCTGAGTGTGTGCGGTCAGAGACATTCTTAGCAGTGGAAGGGCGCTTAGAGCCCTCACCTACTCTGTCACTGTCGTCACCAGCCGTAGGGCATGTCCATACTCATGCCTGCCCTCGTCCTCTAGGTCCCGTGAACTTTTCTTGGGTGACTTGTTTTCTGGGGCTTTAGACTTAGCAGATGGAGCTGCAGATGCTGTAAAGCACGCTCTGCCCACCTCAGCCCTTTCCTGGTCATCTTTCTCCTCAGCCCCCGAAGATGCTCTGGCTCCTTGGTTCCTGGCAGGCCTCCTGATCCACAGGTAGTAATTCCAGGAGGCGCCTGCAGGTGGCAGGCAGGACACTGGCCACAGACTAAGCTCTGGTCAAGAGCGCAGCGCAGCCAAAACCGGAGCCTTTGGATCACCCCCAGTGACACAACCTCTGGGCCTGACCCTTTCCTCCCACTGTATTTGGCAGCCATTTCTTGGTGGGGGAGCTGTTGAAAAGTGGAGCTTCTAGAGGCCACAGCCTAGGTGACAACCCAGGGCCCTTCCCGCTCCACGCATTAGCTGGAAGGATTGACATGCCTAGGACTGGGGTGGCTTGGGCTTCCTTAATTGTAGAGCCCTACTTCCTGCTTCTCAGCCAAATCTCCCACACCCTTCCTGTGAACTAGGAGGTACCCAGCTGGCCCTTACTCACCGCCTTTGCTCTGCCCACTTGGCTTTGGCCTGAGGGTTGGGAACTGGGATAAGTGTTGGGTCCTGGCTACCTTTGTGGGCAGGGCCTCTTGGGGACCAGACCTTGTATCCATCAACTTCTAGCTACGTGTCCCAATTGACCCCATGTTCCGAGGCTCACTGGTCTCTGGTAGGGGTAGGGGTCTTGCTGGTGGTCAGGGGCTATGAGATGAATGGTCTTCCTAGCGACCCCTCTCGAGAATAGAACCACTTCCTGGGGTTTTTCTTGGCTGTAATCTTTACCGGAGGACACGGCAGGTCTTTGCACACGTACTGGTTTCCCCATCAGCTCTCCAGCTCCCAGTGGGGTGGGTTCAATCACTACTCTTTTTCCTTGAGCTGAGTCATGCCTAACCTTTGCGCCACCGGGACTCCTCCTAGGCAAGCCCTGGCTTTTCCAGGCAAGCAGAGGAGAGCCAAAAGCCTGAGGAAGTGCCCTTGCTGGAGACCAGTTGTTGGGGTGCCAGAGCCCCGGGAGAGCTTCCCCCGGAGCCCCACAGCTCCCCTGCGCATAGCGTGGGTCCTCCGCTCTCCAAGGGTGGCGGGTTTCCTCCAGGCTGCCAAAGTGGGGTGGTCAGATGGGAAGTATGCGTGG